ACCACAACGACCATGACCACACCACCACATCCACCACAACGACCACACCACCACCACCTCAACGAACACACTACCCTCCTTCACCTCCACCATTGCACGCCACCACCACCTCGACCTCCACCTAGACCTCCTCCTTCACCAGCATTGTACACCATGAAGCGAGGGAAGGGCATACCTAGACGTCGGAGGGACGTCGGAGGCCGCGGACGGGGCGAGGGTCGCGGACGGGGCGGCGTCAAGGGGCCAGGGCAGGGCACCTCCTCCTCCTCTCTTCTTGGCCTCCTCTCTTCTTGGCCTCCTCTCTCCTCCTCAGGGCGGGCCGGCCGGCGGGCGTGGGCGGGCGACGCGGCCGGGGCGGGGCACCTCCGGCGGGTTGTGGCGAGCGGGGGGGTGGGGCTCCTCCGGTGGCCTGCTCCTCCTCCCTCCTCCTCTGGCGCCCGGGGGCCGGGGTGGGGCACCTCCTCCTCCTCTCTTCCTCGGCCTCCTCTCTCCTCCTCGGGGCGGGCCGGCCGACGGGCGTGGGCGGGCGACGCGGCCAGGGCGGGACACCTCCGACGAGGTGGGGCTCCTCCGGTGGCCTGCTCCTCCTCCCTCCTCCTCTAGCGGCTGGGGGCCGGGGGCGCGCGGGGTGGCGGTGGCGGCTGCGCGCGCATCGGCGGTTTTAGGCATCCGACGTCACTACTTGCTTGAAACCTTCTCAAATTTTTACCACAACCTACACATGCGATAACATGACACCTCGACAAGTTTCGTGATTTTTGGACTTCGTATGGATCTTATATAATTTAAAAACACTTTTCCGACAAGTTCCTCGTCATGTGACATGAAGAAGATGCCCGAAATTTGATGCGAGTTCGTGGATAGGGACTCAACATACACCAAATACCATGAATAACATTTTTCAAATCACTAAATTGCATTATTCCATCCACCTGCAGTTCAAATTTGAAATATTCGAAAAAAATCAACGAAAAGAAATAAATTAGGGAAAGATATAAAAAAAAGTCAAATTTGGCCTAAATTTTAAAATTGAGTTTTAAATAATGTATTATAGCACCACAAAAAAACTGGGTTCAAAAAAACAAAAAACAAAAAAACTCTTTGCCGAGGGTCTAGCCTGACCCTCGGCAAAGGGGGTCTTTGCCGAGGGCCTGGCCAATGGCCCTCGGCAAAGAATGACGCCAGTGGCCACTGTGACCTATCCGGCCATTTTGCCGAGGGCCTATCTTTGCCGAGGGCTCCTAGGGCTGGCCCTCGGCAAAGACCCCCTTTGTCGAGTGCCCGAGATCTAGCCCTCGGCAAAGCCAGAAGCCCTCGGCAAAGAGGCCGTCTCCAGTAGTGGTCAAAGTGTGTACATATCCAACAAAGTTCATCATCTTTTACTGCTAATATGGGATGACGTCATAGTTTTATCTTGTTCTAAAATCGGGGTGGTGGTGGGGACAACCAAAACATGGTTTTACTGGTTCCAACAAATTAAACGTATATATTGAACTTTGCAACTCTCTTATTCATTCCCAAATTCAGAGAAATATTAAAACCAGTAAACTAATGTTTCCGTCATGTCCTCCTATTGAGGGATGCAGCAACGAAAGCCCTAGGTTTAATGGGATACTCGTCTTGAGGTGACATTTTGATGATTTTCTCCACGATCCTTCCGAACTCGTGTCGAGAACTTCTGCAGATGCTACAAAATGCTGCAATAGGATTGGATCCAGTACAGCTCTCACCCCACACGTACCCTCGACTTGGCGGTGAAGTTTCCTCTCCCCACAGACATGGTAGGTTCATGAACAACCATCTTTGTGGATTGAAAATGAAACTCAGCTTCTATGATCTCCCTCAACTCCTTCTCTGATGGCACATATAGTCATAAATAGGTATGTAGAAAGAGTCAAGTTAATTTCTTTTTGTCGAGTAAACCCAGTTAATAATCATCCCCATATATACATACACTCAATGATCTATCCTAGTGACACGTAGGAGTACTACTATCCTTGGAGAGCCAGTGCAAGCTAGCGGTTGAGCAGACTAGATGGAGGCTACACTTGTTGAGGAGCCGCCCATGAAATGAACCTGGAACGATGCTGGTTAAGATTGGACCCAAGCCTTCTTGGGTCTTCCTGTATGTGGCCAAACTCCTGATAACTGAGTTGAAGTCGTTGTTTGGGAGGTGGCTGCCGCTGTTGGAGCTGCAAGCAGCGACGACGGCAGACAGCATCGACTGCTATGGACACAAGCACAAGCGCGTTTGGACCGGAGGAGCAGCCCAGGTCGGCGATCACCATGCCACCGGGGTATTTGTTGGTACCATCCACCAGGCTTGCAGCGGCCTCTTCTATCATGGGGCTTTAAGTTTCCTTGCTCGCCACCTGCAGGATGCATGGAAAATTCCAACATTAGTCTAGCTAGATTGTAAAATACTAGTATTATATTCCCACCAATAATAACAACGGAAAACAGGTATCTTAATTTTGCAATTATTGACTAAAGTATGTTAATTTTCTTGGATAGAACTGCTAATCATCATCGGGCCACCTAAAATTGTAAAGTACAGTATATACTACATAGTATGCAATTTCATGAAATGTTCGTACGACTATTACTTCTGTTTGGTGACGCATTTATATAGAGCTTGAGTTGCTTGGTTGTTGTTTCTGTAGCTCGTACTCTTCGTCTTGTCCAGGTTACAATGTAAATAAATGTGACGTATCTTTTTTTATGTTTATAGCAGCATTTCCATGGTTCCAAAATTAATTTTTTTGCAGTTTACTTTTCTGCAACTTGTTGAGGAATATGAACAAGCCTTAATAGATCAATTTTCACAGGAACGAGCCTGAGGGTCCTTTAGAGCCATGGTCAGTACGTGTACCAAGTTTCCCCAGTAGCCGGTTCCTTTCTAGTTAAATTTCACTGTTTCCTGTAACGGTGTAAGTGTGCAAGTTCATTTGAATGACGGTACTTTTGATATGACAGAAGTCCATTCAGATAGAAGTCAAAATAAAGGAGATGCTCAGAAAGATAGTATATATATTGGATACCTGCAGAACGGAATTGCGAGGGTAACTTGTATCTCCATCTCCTGAAACCATGTGCAGAGTTTCCAGTGTATTCTATCTGTTGCCTAAATCTAATAAAAAGCCAACCATATAACAAGCCAACCTGTCAGACACATGAGAGATGGATGTCCTATATATTCCTGTCATCCTTTCTAGTACTGTGATTCGGAGGGGGCTCAGTAATTTTGGTCATACACATGGGGGGTAACAACACCAAGACATCTGTGTATATCCTCGTGTGGCAGCTTGCACCTGTTTATGAACGGTCTTACCATGTGGGAATAATAGTCGTGAGAATTGTATGCTGGGCTTCAGTCGTCGTCTGTAAATTTCTAGCTCTTCAAGTCTTGCTGTTACATCTCTTAGGCTGTTCGCTTCGCTGAAAAGCCATGGCTGAAAGTACTGTTCGCTGATTTGTTGTGAGAGAAAAATATTGTTCTTTTTTTAGTCAAGCACGTAGCACTGACCAGTGACTACTGCATATCAATCTTCCTCCCAGGATCTGTCGATTGGTTTTACCATGACATGTTCAACTTCATTGGAGTTTAGTGTTTCCGCAACTTCTGCTCTTACAGGGATCCTTCTAGCCGTAGATGTTGGTACCTCGGGATTTTCTAAGATAATCAATGAGAAATCCTGCTTTGGACTTGTTTGGATATCCATTTATTCACCTCGATCCATGTGTCTTGGGGTGGGTTTGTGTCGAACCCACTTCAATACACATGGATTGAGGTAGTACATGAGTATTCAAATAAGGCCTTCAGATATATTCTTTCGAGGGTGTATCAAACCAAACTTGTAACAATGTACCTATAGCTACCAGCATGGACGAACACATGTCTCAACGCACATTTACTATAAGACATCAGAATAATGTTCAAACACATCACTCATGTATACAAGATGAACTAGAACAAAAAGAAAAGAAAAGATAAGAAGATCCCCATATTTGTAAAGTTGACTCTTGACGATCCATGTTCCATCAATAAGAAGAATTCCAATCAAGAATAAATTACTCTATAAACTTGTTAATTAAATCCAGCATACCACATGGAAATATAGGTTCGCATATTGATCGGCCAATATGGAGGTGGAAGGACGTGAGAAAGAGTAAGAAATAGCTAGGACAGGGTTTCCAAAAACAAATGTACAAGGAAGAGAGAAGTATAAAAGTGGTAAGAGTGATTTAGAAATAATCCAGGATTCGTAATGTAAAAATGCTTTTAATATTTTATGAGCTCAACAAATGCATGTGCTCCTAATATTTTTAGCCACTTGCAAAACTCATTGATATATAAATTATATTTTTAAGAACTATTGGAGATGCTCTTAATAGAGATAGTTTAAGAAAGATTATTCTACTAATTATTTTTATATATTTGACACCCTAGGTGTAGGTACACCTAGGTGTAATACTGGACAAAATTTTTAGTGCTGAATATGATTATTGAACACTTCTTAATACTACAGAGCATGGTATAGCTCAGTAGCATTTGTAGTTTGCGGTTGGTTTTTGTCATTATTGACTAACTCGTGTAGAATAAGCTGCTACACCTACGGTGTTTAAAAAAATGCTACCGTGTATGTAATATATTGACATATTGTAATAGAGAATTATAGTCAAAGTTACATTTTAGAGACTATTTTTGTCCAAACGACAAAGGTTTAGAGCTGGAAAGAGTATAAAATGGGAAATTATTGGAAATGTCAAAAGAAAAATATCTTACCAAAAAAATGTTTCCTAGTTGACCCTTGATTTTGGACCCACGTATGCACTGGCCATCTGGAAGCCCATGTGCCAAAGCGGCCCATCTATGTTGCGTCGGCATCGTCGTCCACGGAGGCCAGATGGAGTCTAACACTGAATCCCCTCGCTAACCCTAATCCCCAAATCCAAGGCAAACGCATTCCAAATTTCCAATCGATTCGACTTCAACTCCTATGGGTCAGGTTCAACGCCGCTGCTGCTCCGGCGAGGACCGCATCAGCGGCCTCCCCGACGAGCTGCTGCACGTCATCCTGGTACGCCTCGGCTCCGCCCACGCCGCCGCGCGCTCCAGCGTGCTCTCCCGCCACTGGCGCCACGTCTGGGCGCACCTGCCCGAGCTTCGCCTCGTCGCGCCGCGAGAGGCAACGCCAGCATCGTTCATCAACACCGTCGACGCTACCCTCGGTGGCTACTTAGCACCTACCCTCGAGCACCTCGGCGTCTCCATCTCCACCGATGAACTAGATCGTGACCTCGGCATCCCGGCCGGACGCATTGCGCCGTGGCTCCACTTTGCAGTGGAGCACGTGGTGGGCGAGCTCTATCTCTATCTCCGTTTGCCTCAGTGGTTCGTCCAGCCGGAATCCGTAGTCATCCGGGAGGAGGTAGTTCTCGAGCTTCCCGTGTGTGAACGAGCAAAACAAATCCGGTTCTTTGTTGCAGCATATGCACTTGCAACGTGGCTCCGCCCCCAAGCATCCGGCCTGTTCATGGCACTGACGTGCCTGAAGAAAGGCGGCTATGTCCGCATGGAAGGCAGCGATATCACAGCCCTTGTGTGCACGCAATGCCCGTGCTTGAGGGACCTGAGTCTTTCCATTGAGCTGATTGTCAACTTTGATGTCTCCATAAGCTCCAACTCGTTGTGCACAATGGTGCTCCACGTCTCAGAAACAAGGCGGCTAGAGGTTGTGGCCCCAAAACTTGAAGAGATCACAGTAATTATTCAGCCAATTGAAGCTCATATCTCTGCTCCGAAGCTTGTCAAGGTATCTTGGCATGGTGCCTATGACCCTCATCTCCATCGGTTTGTTGATGTTGGCCGCACCCTCCAGCTACTGAGAACTTTCTATCGTGCGTCGTCCCTGACTAAGCAGTTCGGATAAAGTTGATGAGTTGGATCTAAACATCAATTTACATTTCCCAGGTGTGTTTCCATTAACGAATTTTATGAGAAGTTGTTTTTTCAAACAATAGTGATTAGTTTTTGTCTACTCGTGACAGATGTAGCAACGCATGGACGAAGCTTCTTGAATGAAACAAATAAGCTGCCCAAATGTAAGAGCTTCAGCGTATTCTTATCATGGAAACACCATGCCTTGATGCCTATTATGTTGCATGTCTTGAGGAGTTGCAATAATGGTACAAGGAAGCTTCGGGTGCAACTGTTTCGTGGTTGGTCCCCAGTGGTAATTTCTAAGATCTTTAGATAGCCTTATAATATGCCATATTAAATCGTTTGATTGCAAACTTTGACTTGTTATTTGTTAATTGGGAGTTTCCTAATTAAAAGGCTCTTGATATGTTTACTTAGCATTATTTAAATGTTGATATGCTATATAAACCATTATTGGACCAAATTGAAGATTTGTGCTTTAGCTAGTGAGCATTTCTTTTTCGGTTGCTTAGCTTGTTTGAATTTGTGTTATCTTGACCTAGCTGTGAAGGAAGGGTGACTTCCTAGGTAGCAGAATTGGCAGGTGTGGGCTCGTCACACTATGTAGTGCTGCAATGTTCTTTAGATATGTTTTATTTATTACAGCTAGCTGAACCTCGCAACAACAAAAGCAAACTTTGTTGATTTATCAATATTTATCAGAATTCTCCACTACTGCAATGATGTTGCATTCTCTTTCTATTTTCAGATTCTCATGAACAAATGCAACTTGTGGAGTTCCTATCCTGCAATGCAGGAAACCTGAAAAGGTTGCTCATCAAGGACGATTTTTGCCATAGCCCCAAGGATCTACGTGAGAAGTTCCATAGCATATGTCATCCAAATGTTAAAGTTGAATACTATTCTCGCAAGGGGAGGCAGGTGCCCTTGATTGAATCCTGAAGGCTTGTGGTAAATGTAATATTGTGGTATTTACTAGTTTTTGCACAATAAGTGCAGGACTGTTCATGCGCTTTTAGGATTCATCATCAGTTCAAATTCGGACCTCGATGAATTAACCGTACCCCAATAGGCTCTTTGTTGTTTTTCTTCTTAGTCTTGGATCATTTGGATAATGTTGAGATTGCAACATATTCATTAGAATAGAGAAGTACAAGTGGCCCTACACGCACTATATCAAAACTGCACTAAAGAGCTAGACACCCTGATCTGTATCACCTAGAAAAAAAGAAAAATAAAAAATTGAAGGAGTGGGGCTAGAAGGGGCAAGGCCAGCCAGCCCACCACCGCCCCCAAGCAAGTCACCCTCCCTCTCTATCCTCTGCTGAGAGCGTTCCTCTCCCTCTGTCTCTCTCCTCTTCGACCTCCCTCCTCTCTAGCACGCCCCCTTCCTCTTCCCTGCGCCCCTCCCTCTCTATACCCTCCTCCAATCATCAAGAACCAAGGGAAAACAGGAAAATGGATTGAGGAGGAGAGGATCGAGTATAGCTGAATCTTGGTGTAGATCAACTTTTCCCCCTTCCGTTTCTTGCTGCCCTAGCTCGGGGACGGCCAAGGTGAGATGATTCTACCTTTGTATCTTCTGAATGAGGTGTTTTAGATGGTCATTGGTCATGGAATCTTGTGGTTTTGTGGGAGGAATCACCTTTGAAAAAATCGAATCAAGGATTCTGCTGCCAGACAGTTTGAGCACTGTAGTTGTTCCTGTAGTTTCGGTGACCTAAATTTCTTTTTCTACAAAAGTGGAAAATAGGAAAGTTGTAGAGGAGCTTCAGATCTATTAGCTCGCAAAATTTCATGATTTTAGGCCTTGTAGTTTCAGAGTTATGGATTTTTGAAACTAGCTGTCATATTCTGACGAAAATCTGGACAGAGTTGGATCTATAAGGTTTTCACGAACCATAGAGGCACATTTAGGCTTGCTAATTATAAGAATATTGTAGTGAGTTTCATAAGCTTTCTACATTGGTAAAGAGCATGATTTTTGGATAACTAAAACTAGTGATCTGTGTTTATTCAACCTTACTTAATTATGGTCTTATTTATCTATTTGTGGTGATGCTAATATTCCATATTGCTATATGGGGTTAACCTATAACCCGGAAGATGAAGTTGAAGTATCGTTGGTGGTCTATGTTAATTTTATTGCAGCAAGCCAAGTGCATTGCATCATTCATTTGCATTGGAAGTTATGTCATTGACCTATGGTCACGACCGTATCGGTACAACATCATAGGATGCAGCTCCACACCTGGTTGGGTGTGCAGGCAGCAGACATTTTGCATTGCATTCATATGCATTCATGAAGTATGTTGAAGTGATATGTCTATGTTAGTATGAAGCTCTATTATCTGGCTATGTTCAAAAAAATTGGAAGTCGCTCGTTGTATATTGAGTTTATAACTTGTTTATTCTATAAGTGGAACTCCATGTTAAATTGTTGTTTAATTCAACCTGTGGTTTAAATAGCTTGTCAAAACAAGTTTGCTTGCTGAGATGTTTCATCTCACCCTTACTTTACTCAATTCTGGTACTTGTTGCTTGCTTGCTTGGAAGAGAAAGGGATTAGCTGCACATCTCACACTCCTTTACTTAGAGACTTTGTGTTTTAATACATCATAATTTGGTCTTGTTCATTAGACTTGAGAGTGAATGTTTAAAGTGTGGATGTTAAACTTCTTGTTGGAGTATGTCATATTTGTGTTAGGATGTTCGTTAATACTAGTTTGGTATTTTGTTATCTATATCTTGTTCCCGCGTTGCTCTTAAATACAAAGGAGGTGCTGCCAAAATATTTCTTTTGGTGGTGTGCGGTTGTTGTTTGTGAAGTTTAGTAGCATCTCGGCGTGTCTGTGAATTCCGGGGTGTTACAGTTGGCACCAAAGCAGGTTTTAGATTCTCGGAAAAATAAGGATTAATTTGACACACTTGCACTTTTAGGATGGGTAATTATTGTTTTATCTGTTCTTGATTGTTATGACATAATCTGTTAAATATATGATATGTTTCAATTGAAGTTGGTGTGGGCATGGTTTTTTTTAATGTGGTTATTGTTTGTTTACCTTGGTGGTTGTAGCAATGCCGCCTAAGAGAGGACGACGGGGTCGACCAGCGACTAATCGTTCTACGGATATTAATCCACCTCCTGATGTAGCGGCAATGGCAGCCGCGATGCAGGCAATGCAGCAGGAATTGGAGACCTTGAGGCATGCTGCCAATACTGGCGCTGCTACCGCTGCTACCGTTGGTGCCGCTACTAGCACTATTCCTGCTACGGGTGCTATTCCCACTAGTGTTCCTCAGACTGCACTTCCGATCAGTGGTGTTTCTCTTGTGAAGTGGGTTGGCATGAAGTTAGATTCCTTTGATGGCAGTGGCTCTCCAGTTGAGGCAGCAGATTGGCTAACTTATGTGGAGGATAAGATGGATGTCTTTGAGGTGGCTTATGGGGATCGTGTTCGCTATGGGACACAGTTGCTGACGGGTGAGGATCAGATATGGAGAGGCGTGTAGACATCTCATTCGTCTGCACTTGGATCTTTGACTTGGCATGTCTTGGCCAGGGAGTTTGAGAGGAGGTTTTACCCAGCCACTTTTCTAGAGAAGATGAAGATAGACTTGCAAACCTATAGGCAGGATAAGAAGACAGTGGCAGAATACGAGGTGGGCTTCAACAAGATTGTTCGCTTTGTTCCACACGTGGCCCGTAATGAGGTAGAGAAGGCAAGCCAGTTTCGTCAGGGTTTGAAGCCTTCCATTAGGCACACTTTGGGGGCTTTCTATTGGTGGATTTCCGCACCACTGTGGAGCAGGCTTTAGGTGAGGAGATGCAGCAACAGTACACTAATGAAATTCAGAAACCTTCCGTTCTGATCAGTCTCGCTCTCAGGATGACAGAAAGCGCTAGTCTGGTGGTCCAGCTCACAAGAAGGGGAAGTTTCAGCGTCACCATCCATATTGTGGCAAGTACTCTCACTCTAGTTCTTCAGGAGGAAGTACGCCTCAGTATCGGGCTTTTCCTAAACCAGGTATGGGGCTAGTGTGTTTCCGCTGTGGTGATGCGCACCGACGTGCAGAGTGCTAGTGGAAATGGGAACATATTACTATGGACTTTGTAGTTGGTTTACCTCGGTCTCCTCGAGGTAATGATGCTATATGGGTTGTTGTGGATAGACTCACCAAAGGTGCCCATTTCATTCCAATGAAAACAAAAAACTCTGCACCAGATTTAGTTCCCTTATATATTAAGGAAGTGGTGAGACTGCATGGTGTGCCCAAGTCAATTATTTCGGATCGGGACCCAAAATTTGTGTATAATTTTTGGTAAAGTCTACAAAATGCCTTGGGCACAAAACACACACTTAGCACAGCTTTTCACCCACAAACGGATGGTCAATCGGAACGTACCATTCAAACATTAGAGGACATGCTTCGTGCATGTGTTATTTCTTGGAAAGGTAGTTGGGAGGATCATTTAGCTTTGGCAGAGTTTGCTTACAATAATAGCTACCAATCTAGTATCAAGATGGCCCCATATGAGGCTTTGTATGGAAGAAGATGTATCTCTCCCATATGTAGGGAAACTTTGGGCGAAAGGTCTTTGGTTGGTCTAAATTGGGTTCAAGAGACATCTGAAAGGGTGCAAAAAGTACGACAAAATTTGTTGGCTGCTCAGAGTCAGCAGAAGAGCTATGCGGATGTTAGAAGGCGGGACCTAGAGTTCGCAGTGGGAGATCAGGTTCTTCTCAGGGTATCACTGACCAAAGGTATTGTTCGGTTTGGCACTACAGGGAAGCTTAGCCCAAGGTACATTGGTCCATTTGAGATCATAGCCCGGGTAGGCAGTCTAGCCTATCGGTTGCAGTTGCCAGATTCATTGAGGGGAGTGCACAATGTATTTCATGTTTCCATGTTGAGGAAGTATCCGAGGGACCCTGAGAATAAGATTGATCTAGGGCTAATTAGAGTGCTGCAGGACTTGACAATCAAATGTCACCCAGTGTGCATATTGGACTCCTCCGAGCGAGTCATGAGGAGGAGAACTATCAAATATGTTAAGGTTCTATGGACAAACCAGACGGAGAGAGAAGCATCTTGGGAGCTTGAAGAGCGTATACGCAAGGAGTATCTAGAACTCTTTGAGACTGGTGAGTTATATGTCTTCAAGTTCTCTTTTGCTCACTTGTATATTTTTTTAGTAAGGGATGGTGGAATCCGGGGACGAATTCTATTATGGGGGGAGGGGAGAATGTAACACCTAAAAAAAGAAAAAGAAAAAATTGAAGGAGTGGGGCTAGAAGGGGCAAGGCCCAGCCAGCCCACCACTGCCCCCAAGCCCAAGTCGCCCTCCCCCTCTATCCTCTGCTGAGAGCGTTCCTCTCCCTCTGTCTTTCTCCTGTTCGACCTCCCTACTCCCTAGCACGCCCCCTTCCTCTTCTCTGTGCCCCTCCCTCTCTATACCCTCCTCCAATCATCAAGAACCAAGGGAAAACAGGAAAATGGATTGAGGAGGAGGAGAGGATCAAGTAGAGCTGAATCTTGGTGTAGATCGACTTTTTTCCCTTCCGTTTCTTGCTACCCTAGCTCGGGGACGGCCAAGGTGAGATGATTCTAACTTTGTATCTTCTGAATGAGGTGTTTTAGATGGTCATTGGTCATGGAATCTTGTGGTTTTGTGGGAGGAATCACCTTTGAAAAAATCGAATCTAGGATTCTCCTGCCTAACAGTTTGGGCACTGTAGCTGTTCCTGTAGTTTCGGTGACCTAAATTTCTTTTTCTCTGAAAGTGGATAATAGGAAAGTTGTAGAGGAGCTTCAGATCTATTAGCTCGCAAAATTGCATGATTTTAGGCCTTGTAGTTTCAGAGTTGTGGATTTTTGAAACTAGCTGTCATATTCTGACCAAAATCTAGATAGAGTTGCATCTATAAGGTTTTCAGGAACCATAGAGGCACATTTAGGCTTGCTAATTATTAGAATATTGTAGTGAGTTTCATAAGCTTTGTACATTGGTAAAGAGCATGATTTTTGGATAAGAGACACTTCGTTGATAGTTTTTCAAGTTCAGATGCACTATTCTGTTGGCAGAGTTTTCAGTTAGGGTTCAACCCTGCTTTAGATAATCTTGTCGACCTCTAATGCAAATATGGGTAATATAAAAGTTGTAGATTGTGGAATTCTCTATCATTTGGTGGAATTGTAGAATTTGTGGACAAACGGATTTGGAGATATAAAATTGTTAAACTTGATGTCCTGATTTCTGGGCAGATTCAGAAGTTTGTTTTCAACTGCAGTTTCAACCATCTTAATGACATGATAAAGATAAAGCTTGTACAAGAAAGTTTTAGGTATTGCTCTGTAGATTCTAGTAATGTATTTGTTTGCTATCATATCATTGTGGATTAAAAGATACGAAAAAAGTGAAGCAGCAGTGCTGCAGATCACTTGGTGTTTGTTGGCTGTTTTGCTTGGATTTTGGTTTGGGGAACGTAGGAGCGCTTTACTTGCTATAAAAACTTGATGGAATGAGTTTGTTTTTCTGATCTTAAATTATCAAAGCAGGTGATAGTGCTCCGGATCACACGTAAAGTGGTCATCCCTTCATTGGAGGCAAGTGAATGTAGCGGTGGTTCGTTACCGTTTTGGCTTGCTATTTTCATCGCCTACACCATAATGTCTATAATAATGTCATACTTCAAATAACTAAAACTAGTGATCTGTGTTTATTCAACCTTACTTAATTATGGTCTTATTTATCTATTTATGGTGATGCTAATATTCCATATTGCTATATGGGGTTAACCTATAACCCAGAAGATGAAGTTGAAGTATCGTTGGTGGTCTATGTTAATTTTATTGTAGCAAGCCAAGTGCAATGCATCATTCATTTGCATTCTAAGTTATGTCGTTGACCTATGGTCACGACCGTACCGGTACAGCATCATGGGATGCAGCTCCACACCTTGTTGGGTGTGCAGGTAGGAGACATTTTGCATTGCATTCATATGCATTCATGAAGTATATTGAAGTTATATGTCCATGTTAGTATGAAGCTCTATTATCTAGCTATGTTTAAAAAAATTGGAAGTCGCTCGTTGTATATTGAGTTTATAACTTGTTTATTCTATAAGTGGAACTCCATGTTAAATTGTTATTTAATTCAACCTGTGGTTTAAATAGCTTGTTAAAACAAGTTTGCTTGCTAAGATGTTTCATCTCACCCTTGCTTTACTCAATCCAGGTACTTGTTGCTTGCTAGCTTGGAAGGGAAAGGGATTAGCGGCACATCTCACACCCTTTACTTAGAGACTTTGTGTTTTAATACATCATAATGTGGTCTTGTTCATTAGACTTGAGAGTGAATGTTTAAAGTGTGGATGTTAAACTTCTTGTTGGAGTATGTCATATTTGTGTTAGGATGTTCGTTAATAGTAGTTTGGTATTTTGTTATCTATATCTTGTTCCCGCGTTGCTCTTAAATACCAAGGAGGTTCTGCCAAAATATTTCTTTTGGTGGTGTGCGGTTGTTGTTTGTGAAGTTTAGTAGCATCTCGGTGCGTCTGTGAATTCTGGGGTGTTACATGATCAGTGACTCATAATTGAGACACGTGTGTATTGTGACATCACAGACACAGGTACACTTAACGTCTCGGAGGAGTTGTCCTCCAATGCCAGTAGATGAAACGCGTGATGACTTCATATCACCAGTTTTTAAAATCTCTGGCTAAGCAATAGCTGTCGCTATCCATTTAGCAGTTTTGCAAAAAAAAAAAAAAAAAAAAAAAAAAGAGAGGATGAGTGAGAACTTGCCAGCTGTTTGGGGAAGGGACAAGGAGAGCAAACGCTTGCTGGCTGTTGGCTTGCTACTGGTGGTCACGTATGCTGGCTTGCTGTTATTGTTGATGTTAAAGTATGAAATGTAAATGAAATTATAGAAAGGAAGAACTTGTGTATTGCATTGATCTCATCATGGAAATATATACATGGTGAACAGGTGTGGTGAAAGGCTGTCTTGTGCCAAAGGATAAGGCAACCATTCTCACTTTTTGTGCCAAAGGACATGCCCATTTGGTGGCTATGTAACCACCTAATACAATTACTAATGCTACTCTAGTCTTGATGAGATCACTTCTAAATAGATGTCTATTTGGAGAGGCATCTTGAAGAGGTGTCTATTCGATAGGACATTTGTTTCACAACACTCCCTCTTGATCGAATTTTCTTTGAGATCAATGTAGCTGAAATTCCTTGAAAACCCTATGGGATAATCTTGGGAATATACTGATATGTCTAAACCCAGTGGAAAAAATGAGGAGAAAATGGTATGTCACATATATGTTATTACTCAATTTAAACTTATACGGGTACCCTTTTGGGAAAGAAAACCATAAACAAGTTTAGAGAAAAATAGCTATGATTTGTAAATCACTGTCTTTGGTATCCGATTTAAAAACCCCTAGGGGCCTGTTTGGAAGCTAGGTATTTATCCCAAAACCATTGTAAATTATAGGCCC